ATATATATATATATATATATATATATATATATATATATATATATATATATATATACATGTATATATTACGATATGTACATTGGCTGGATGTTTTTTCTTCTCTTTCTTTTTCCCTTTTACATCAGATACTTTCGCGAAAAAAAAGAAATGTTCGCCTGGTGAGCACGACTTATGTCACTGTTTCGCTCAACGGGACTCGGTCGGTCGGTCGGCAGGAGAAATGAAGCGAGAGAAAGAAAAGAGAGAAGAGATGTATATTTGGAAGAGAAGGACACGTGTGGATCACGCGAGTAAACGCGGCGGCTGCTCTGCTCTGCCATGCGTGTCCACGCAACGTCGTATCAACGTCCGTGCGAGCTGTCGATTATTCCGAGTGCACGGAATTACTTACGGCGTCCGATCGATAACTAGAGAGATCTCTTTTTACGTGTTCACATTGCGTTGCACCGGGGCCGCAGTTGCACGGCTCTCGGCGGCGCACTCGTTTCGTTTAATGAGACGTGGTGCGCCTTTTGGAGCTAATTAGCGGGGATTACGTATGATGAATCGATATCCGATTGCCGTTTCTGCGATTCGCTCTCTCTTCTGTAATGATATGATAAGAGTGTATTTCTATTCCTAAAGCGGCTCCGTGTTCCGTCGTGGACCGGTAAAGGCTCTCTACTATTTGCAGCGAAGCGTTTTGCATGTAAATTATATAGCGAAGCATCAGGAAGTATAACATCGGCACTACTTTGCAGCAAGGAACGCATAACTTGAGTTACATGCAATATACACACACACACACACACACACACACACACACACACACACACACACACACACACACACACACACAGGCTACCTCAGAAAGAACGTTAGCAATAACGTGTGCACAAGCCACTACGAATATTTAGACTGACGATGATGACATCGCAGAAGTGGAGAGAAGCGGCAAAGTTCATCTTGGAGTCTTTCTCGCGACGGACGGTTCTCGTTATACTGTTACGTGTGAAAGAAAAAGATTCGTCTTGGCTCAAACCGTTTCGTTCAAAACAACGACAGAACATCGGACTTCAGTCAGAATCTTTGAACTTTGAGCATGGAAAATTCGTTTAAGAAAATCGAGTTCTTTTTTTTTTCTCTCTTTACCGAAACTGCAGCGACAATCGACAATGAAGACCGTTATAATCGTGTTTCGCGTAAAACTCACGATAATCATACGTGTCGTGTGGCACGATTAAAGATCAATTACTTGCCGATTCCTGCAGCAGAAGAAGGAGGATGCTTAAGAAGTGCTGACGAGGTCGTTTAGCACGATCACACGGCACGTGTGCACAACGGAACACGAAGATTAAGTAAGATTACACCAATCAATTCGTGAAAAATGATCTTTGAGATACCTTCTAAGGCAGTATTCGCAGCCGAAAGTGTTTAGCATCGTTTCACGACGACAGTGTAAGTACGTTGGTAGTAACACATCTCTTTGCTAAGTCGCCTCGTCTCTTACGTATGGTTTAGAAAGTTTATTTGCTGCATCAAATACACCTTCTAAATCGGACGACCTCTGGCTCACGCTTCTAACCCGTTATCGATTTTTTATACTCATGCAGCAGCTGTAATATTACAATAATTGCGATGTTAACACCAATTTTACCAGCCTCCCGTCGCGACTTGTCGCGTCATTTACGAGCCCGTGCGCGTTATTACTCGACCATCGACATATCGGCGCGAGCGGTACCCGCCGCTCTCTCTGACGTGTTTCAGCAACATTTCTCACATGTCAAAGCGTCTTTATTCTCGTATATCACAACTCTACTCTCTACTCTACTCTACTCTAAGTACGTTCCATTCAACTAACAAAGTCGTATCTTAACTCATTCCGTATGTACGATGTGTACATCATGAACGTCTCTCGCTACGCTAATGACAATATATGTACACCGTTTCTCGATAAATAAATATATATATATATATATGAGATGTGTTTCTTTCCGAATTTCAATCCGTCCAACTAATTACCTGAGATCGTTGCCCCTGGATCTTCTCATGCCACGTGGCGGGTGTCGCGGTGGCGGCGTGCACCTGCAGTCACAGTGCATCACACACAGCGCGACGCTGGTCGCGAGAGTCACTACGAAAGGGGCCGCGAAGAAGTGCATGATGGTAGCGACCTGTGCCTCGCGATTATAGTTCGCCATCACTATGCTACCGTTCACCCGGCTGTAATGGCAGGGAAACTTCGCGCCCTCGTAACCCAACTCGCGGGTGAAGTTCTTGCAATCGACTACCGGCGGGTATCCGCAGCCCTTGATGTTCACCAGAAGCACCGCCTCGACGTCCCCCGGGGAGGACACTGCTCAACAAGAGATTTTTTTACATAGCAAATATTAGAGCATCCGCTGGAATTTGAATTTTTATGCCCGCCGGATACGCATGCAATCTGTGATATTGATCTATCCAGCTGGAATGGATTCCAATTTTTCCTCCATTTCCCAGGCGGTACATTCTATTTTGCAGTTATAAGCAACGGCAGAGGGAGAGAGAGAGAGAGAAAGAGGAACAGAGAGGGGATAGAGAGAACAAACGACAGAGAAAAAGTATTAAATATTCGTTACGTTCTTGAATTTGATGGATTACGTCCGTTATGTCCGTTATGTCTTGAACTTTATGCGCATAGCAACGATACATATCATATGAACAATCAGCCGTTCAATCATTTTATATATTTGTGAGAGGTAAAATCACGTTTTGATATCATGAATTTTCGCCTTGTCCTCCCAAGGCTCGTCTATAATGCACGGGGCAAGCTTGGCGTATAAGTTGGAGTAAGAAATAAAAATTCATTTCGCTTACATCCCTTTATACTCTAGCTCTTTTGTGCCTTTTTACTTCTTCGACTTCAGAAAAGCACTTATGATGTAAGCAGCCTAGAGTATAGGCGTAAGTGAATTTTGATGTCTTGCTCTAGAACTTACGCCAAGCTTACCACGCATACTACGGGTCTTCATATTCCACCTCATAACGTACTTTAAAGGTCTATCTACAATGAGATTGGCAGTAAAAAGTAAAAGTAAAACGTAAGCAGACAATTTTTTCTGTAATAATCAACTGTGGCTGGTCAATCTGCTCACTGCTTACGTCTTACTGCCGGCTGCCAATCCTATTGTAAATGGTGCTTAAGAATTCCCGAACTCTGATAAGCTGATCTGCTCGTTCATTTCTCCCGCTCTATCAAATGTGCTTTCGTCAAATACAGAGCCAGTCTCTTTATCAACCTAAATTCCAACGGCCTCGCGTGGGAGATAGAAAAGATTCAAAAAGGGAGGGAGAGAGAAAGGGGCGCTAAGGGGAATACAGTGTGATTAATGATCCTACCGGCAGTGACAGTGCCCGGAGTGGCCGTGGTGTTCGTAGTGGCGTTTTTGCCGGCAGTCTCGTTCCTCATACTGGCGTTGCTCCACGGCGTGTAAGTGACGTATATGTGGGTGCACCTGTACACGTCACTGGTGCATCCCTCGCGACACGAGCTCCATGTGCAGTTGAAGAGGCCGGCGAGCTCTTCGCGCCGGGAGGTAGTGCAGATGACCGGCTCCGGCGAGAAGTCCGCCGCCAAGGTGCTGATAGCCGGGTCGACGTAGAGCGGCACCAGGAAGAGAAGTGCCGCGCCGCCGGAGGTCGCGACGAAGGCCAGCGCTGACGTGGCGTAGAAATTAAACCGCTGACGGCAGGTACGCCGTGGCGGTCGGCGCCGCGACGCGCCGAACCCGAGCTCCAACAGCTTGCGACGACGTAGCTCCCGCTCGTGGAAGTCGTGCCCGGCGCCGCTGTCCCGACGCTGATGCCGATCGTGATCGCACTGGCACTGGCTGCAACTTGGCTCCAGCAGGAGTTCGGAGCTGCTCCCGCGCATCACCCAAGACGGCTGTCGAGAAGGGGACGACGCTATGCGAAGCTGCCTCTTCGGCTTCCTCGGCCGATGCTGATCGCTGCTCGACGCTCGATTCTGCGGCGACACATCGAGCGCGCCGATCTACTGGCGGCCGAGCATCGCTTCCTCGTGGAGGAACGCGCGGTTCGAATTGACGTCTCGATCCTAGGATCAACTGTCGAGCAGGGACGCGTCGACCATCGCTTTCCTCGGCCACGGCAAGTCGTCCGCCAGGTGAGCGGGGATCAAGTGTACGCGGTCGCGATTCCGCTTTTCACTAGGAGGCATTGAGCGAGGCCGTGTTTACTAGCTCGACGTGACTAGCTCGTCCGAACACGGTGCGCGATGTGGTCAGCTGGCTCGCTGGCTGCTGCTGCTGCTGCTGTGTTGTATAGGCCGACGAAGGTTTCATTGAACCGTATACAGGTTGGGCCGAGATACAAAACTAGATGTGATTGGCGATGATGGCGAATACGTAATAGCACGGCGTGGTTGCCTGACAAACTAACTCAATGGACGATTCTCCGTGATCGTTTGACCGACGAACACTCTATTGTCGTGAGCTTCCTCTTGGAAACTCGGAGAACGCGAACGACGATCTCGCGATCGATACAGCGCGCTCCACTGCGAAGCTCCGAGCACGCCTTTTCGCGGTGTAACAAGCTCGACATTACGAGCCCGAGCTGATCGGCAAATTCGATTGCCGCTACGTCCGCATCGCCGGGTTCGATGTTTGCTCAAGTAGGTCCTTGTGAATCGCGTCGCGACAGATAGGCCACGTACCAACTGCTCGAGCTTCTCTCTCTCTCTCTCTCTCTCTCTCTCTCTCTCCTCTCCCCCACTCTCTCTTTCTCTCTCTATGTGTCTCTGTCGAGTCACCTCCTTCACTTCTCAGCCTGCCTTATCGCTTATACATAACGACCTTGTACGCTTAAGGTTCCTTTAGATGATCAAATTAAGTCGATCGATCACGGCGACTTTCAGACGCCGCGGCTTCGTAGGAAATCACGCATTTCGGCGCAATGCGCGCGTGAAGATGCGTGTTTGAAGATAAATCACCGGAGGCTCGCGATCCTCGCGTTAGAAAACTGTCGCTGTCGCGCGATCGTTAGCCCGTTGATCCCAAATTAGGCCTGCTGTTCGCCTCTTCCTACTTCTTCTTCTGACATCAGTAAGGCGCACGTTGTGGTATTTGAACGGCGGATATCGGAGACTCTCGCCAATAGGACTCGATATCGCGCTTTGTAAACCTATGTGACGAGCAGATGTGACGGCCAAGTGACTGCGCTTATCTCTCTTCTTCTTCTTGTATTACTCCCAATGTACCAGTTGCTCGCTCGATCGTAATTATCCTAAGGGAAGCCACAGTCGTCGTCGACGATGTATCCTCTGGCCGCTGATGAAGGCGCTTAGTCGTCGCTCACGACGCTGACGGTGTCGTTGCATCGGCCGCGATCAACAGTGCTCGGCACACTCGACGACCTGTCACGAGCAGCGCGCCAGATTGATCCGTCCAGCGGCGAACAAATCGACGTATCCTCGTGGACTCTCGAGAGAGCCGCGCGAGAGAGCCTCCTCCACCTTGAGCCCCGCGCTGCGCTGCTCCGACACGATCTACCGTTTCGCTTGGCTCCGCAGGAGCGTTCGCGCGGAGACAACTCGAGACCTGGTGCCTGTTCACGCCTGCCTCCAGTGTACGTTCACATTCGGCAACTGGTTGCCACGCAGCGGGTTCTTGGCTGCAGAACCGGTCACATCGAACGGCACCCTGAACTTCCTGTTACACGCGACTCTCCGTCGCGAGCCGATGAGGATCGATCCGCCGTCGTTGATCCTTCCCGAGTACATGGGACATTTACACACCGGTCGCCGTGATATCGCGTCGCGCTGATCTTTGCTGGATCCTTGAATCGTTCGGCAAACGTTCGACGTCTCGGCGAGGGCTTCGGTAAGCGCGACGGACCGACCGATAGTCGCGGATAAGGGACCTCCTCTCCTCTCCGCTTCGCTCCGCTCCTTTCCTCTCCTCTCCTCTCTTCTCGTGTCCGAGCACTTGCGCGCGTACCTGGCGAGTGCCGTCCTCCGCCTCGCGGATCGCGGGTTAAAGCGTGACTATTCGACCACCTCGGCGAAGAGTCCTCGACAGGACAGACCGTGGTCCGAAGCGACAGGGCGGGGTTCCAGGCGCGCATGAGCGACGGGTACAACCCCTCGCCCTCGTACCCCGTTGTGCCACCCCCGCGATGCGTTCTCCTTGTTTACGCTCCCGCCTGTCTCGCCTTGCTTCTACCGCTCTTCTGTACGGGGTGTCCCGGGCCCACCGAGCAACATTTCATAGTGACGAGTGGAATACACTCGTGTGGGAACGATTCTTTCGCTGATCGTCAATTTTACCCTTTTGCGCACACACCCCGCAAAATTTATCTCGCCGTAATCACGGTTTCAGTTTCCAGCGTCAGGTCTCCCAGATAAATCCCGCCATGGACTTGGAATCGATACTTCTTCGGCGAAAACACATCGAGAGGAGTCACTGGGATTTTTCTCAAGTGCGGAATATATAAATCACTAAGTTTCGAAGTAAAATTCTCTCGATATAGAGTTCCAGCTAGATCACATTACTCCTTCGCACTTAATTCGTGAGGAACTCTTCATTTTCAATCATTTAGAGTTTTAGGAATACTGGAAAGGGAGCGAGTGACTTGATGAATATATCTCAAGGAAGATGTCACTCCAAATGAGCGGGAAACCTGTCTCTATGATTATTCAGTAGGTTTAGGACACTATGTACATATCGCACTCACAACGGGTACTTCAGCGCGCGCCCTGTCGCTCTCCCTCCCTCGCTTCCCTATTATCATCTTTTAATTGCGTCCTATAATGAAGCCAATTTTTTTGCCCGTAGTCTCAGCTGTTCCGCGTTACAGTATGTGGACAGGTAATGACTTTAGCCCCTTGAAAACCTCTTTGAGGGGTGGAGGTAAAATACAGTTGACAATTGAGTTCACAGAAATTAAGTGGTCCAATCTGAAAAACAAAACCACAGACCAAGAGAGACGTATTAACGGATTTCTGCTATTCTCAGCTTACAAAGAAATCAAAAAGAACGACTCAATTCCCCACATAGCATCAGAGTCAATATTATTATTACTAAAATATTGCTGCGATATCTCAGTAAATTAAATTCTTTTGCATGAAAATATTACGTAGTAGTAATTTTTTCTATCAGAGAAAATATGATAGTACATTAATACTACTAAAACGTTAATTTAAAATAGTAAAGTAGTTGATGGTTTTCGAAATATAATATACTATTAATATACTATTAATATACTATTAATATACTATTAATATACTATTTGAAATATAATATTTGCTAGTTTTAAATATTAATTCAACCACAAGGCAGTCTTGAACCAAACATTATGTTCAGGTTTGAGATTTATTAAGAGTTAGAGAAAGTGACATTTTATGATCATGATAACATCGTTATCATCTTTAACAACATAATTAAAGGCTTTTTGAATTTAATGTAATCGACGTAATATTTTTGTATATATTTCTACGGGCTCTACGTAATCGCTTTATTTTTGGGGCGATAGAAATATTCCCTTAATTAATCGAGGAGCGTTCCCATTGAGTGCGAAAGTAAGACAAAAAATGTTGTTTATCTCGGTTTATTCACGCTACCCGTGGCCATTTATCACCACCGTCGTTTTTCTCCGTTAAAGATCCCTCACAAGTACGAGTCTCGGATACTTGCCGCTTAGTCCTAAGGTAGACTTTATTGCGCACCGCGTGATACACTCATAGATTCCGAGATCATCGCCGAGACAGCTGGGGAAGCAATCTACCTTCCTCCAGAGAGTCGTCCCGATTGTTACGTGCGCCACAGTACCGAGCTATACACGATTCCCACGAGACTCTATCCGCGGGCCTAACGAGCGCGGGGCTACGACGAAGTCAAGCCGCGGAGTTTACCGATCCGTCCTAGATCACCGGCTACGACCCTAATTCGCCACTTAAATCGCGATACGAATGCCCGATATGTAGAGACGACCGGCCAGGAATTTATTAACGTTAAGCCCGTGCTTTTCTTCCAGATTACGATCGCGCCTGTATCACGGCACGACCTACGTGATTTAGGCGACAGGCCGGAAACATCAGGTCACACCTATCGTCGCTCGCGGCTCCCAAAATCTCATTCCGGGTCATCGCGCTTCTGTCGAAGCTCACACAGTGAGCCTCACATTCGCGTATTCAGCAACGCATGCGATATGTAGCTGATTCTTATTGTGTTAAGAACAATTGTTACAAGTTTAGCAATGCGGCAAATTAATTCGATATAAATATTGTTCGATATAATACCGTGTAACGTATTATTCGTCGTATTAATTTGTTTACTAACTGATAGCGTCTTCTTCAAAGTAAAAATATAATATTAACAAAAAGAAACTGTTAGTATAATACTAAATATTACATTAAAAAAAATTGTATCTCGAAATCGTGCACAAAACAAAACAAAAATGCCTCAACAAATATCCTTCTCAATAAAATTTTTGTATAATAAAAAATATAAGTTTCTACATATTTACACAAATTTAGTATAAGTTAATATTAAGTTATGATATAAATTTAATATTAACTTATAATCTCACATTTTCTATAATATATTTTTGATATATTTTAATTGTGTAAGTTATCATTTTAATAATTAGGATAAACAGAAAAACAAGTTGAACCGATATTGGATTAGTTGATATAAATTAAATTGTGTACTGAAAAAGTAATTTATTGCGTCTTAAAAGTCGCCTGCAATACGGTCGCAATTACATTTTAAAGTCGTAGGACTAGTCTGTAAATCGATCACAGTATTCGTTCCCTTCGCGTAAACTCGTGAAAAATAAAAAGTTTTATTGACGAATAAATATGTTCAATGAACTCATCCATGTGAGAGTCTTCATTTTTCACGAGTTTACGCGAAAGAAATAGACACACGATCGATTCATCGACTAGTGCTATGACTTTAAGACGTAACTGCGACTACATTGTGTAAACGAGTTTTCACTCACATTTCAGATGATAATCAAATCGGCGACTGCGCGTGCGATTGACGATCACATCACAGAGTAATTAAACAACATTCATCTCCATCACGTATTCCGTCTCATTATCTACTCGAAACATCGCGGCAAACTCTGGACTTTCACACGTGGCGGCGTCTGTCGGCATTAGTACGAATCAATACTCCTAACGCCGGTCTTACACTACATCGTCGCTGTCACATGGAAACGCTATCACATGAATGCTGCATTTCTCAATGTACCTTACGAAATATCATCCTTTTACAAGGTTATTTAGATTGCATAAACATTACATAACATTTGAATTTTATCTTAGATTGCATTCTAAAACGCCCTTTTTCAGGAAATTTTACTCAATACTCTATAGTATGTGTAACGTGAACTATTGAATAAAATATTTCTAAAGCTGATATTACATGTGTCGTATGACAAGTTTTTCGAATACATTGATTGGTTGACGAACAGATAATCTAGAAATATTTTATTCGCCAACCAATGAACGTATCCGAAAAGCTTGTCGTGCGACAAATGTAATATTATGCAGGATTCACACCGCGTCCGATGTCCTGTATCCAATAAAAGAATAAAAGAATAGTTTTCTAATGGAGAATTGAATTCTCTATTAGAAAGCTGTTCTCTTATTGGATATCGGATGCGGTGTGAATCCTGCATTAAGTTGCATTCCAAAACTTCTTTTTGAGGAAAATTTTACCCATTATTTACAGTTCACATTATATATATTATAGAGTATCCAGTAAAATTTCCTCAAAATGTTTTGAAATGCAACCGTAAGGCCGATGTCCCATGAGCGGAAATTTTCAGGGGAACGGAATGCGTTTCGCGAAAAGAATAGAATGGCTATGATTGGTTCACGCGTTCCGTTCCGCTTATGGGACGCCGGTCTATAGGTCATGTTCCGTTTCACGCATTTGCGCGCAACTATCTATAGTTCATGTCACGTATACTGTAGCATAATGCGGAACGCAGCCATAAACAGCCCTTCTGTTTGGTGATATCTGGCATGAGAAACGTGGCAGTTCTGCACATCAGGCGACTCCACCAACCAGCGCGCGTTACGTCAGCACTAGGCCAATCCAGACGACCTCGCCGTCACACCAGGTGTCCCGGCATGCACCGCGGTTGATGGTGGGACGAAGCAGAAGTGAAGCGTTGCTGGGCGTCTCGTCGTTCTTTCTGCCTTTGGACGCCATAGTGAACGTTTGCTTGGAGCGGACTGGGAAAGGAAGTGCAACGTTGGAATCTTTGGCGTCAGGCTCGTGTGTTCTCGACGAGCGACTGAACAGCGACAATGGCTGGAACCGAAACACCTAGCATAAAGGCTGAGCCGGCAAATGCACCTGCTGAAAACAGTAACGAGAATCCGCGCGAACGGAATCCACCGGGTGGCGGACCTCGAGGTCCTCGCGGCCGAAAAGGCGGCACACGTTTCTCAGGCGGTCGCGGTGGTGGAATGGGCGGCGGCGGCGGTGGCGGCGGCGGAGGCGGAGGTGGCGGTGGAAGTGGCGGCGGAGGCAGAAATAATGAGGCGGTAAGCACCCAGCTTCAGAATTTTTGGAAAATTGACGAACTTCACAGAGATGAGGAAATAGCCTAGGAACGCTATGTCGCTTAGTTGCGCCATATCGGCGAGAAAACGTAGTATCACTGTCGGTTGCGTAGTCACGTTTAGCATATCGCTCGAGCTATATTTGCCCCAGAATTTGTAGAGCAGCACTCTTTCTCGAAGGTCTCGGACTGTAGAGACGCTTTGTTAGAAAAGTGCGCGTAATGGGAAACACGTGGCGAGGATTTTTCCACTCTACCCCTTAGAGCAGACTCTGAAGAGAACATAGCCATCGTGTAGATACGCGTACTGTTGTAGATATAAATGCGCGAACGAATTTCTCTTTTTCGCGATTTTTCTGCTGCAAGATTAAAGGAGGATTATGCAAATCCGTATAACTTTTGCAAGAGAACATATTGCTTATTAGAATTTGAGTTGCGCATTCTTTAGTATGCGCGCGATATTGCATAAAAATTTATTAATGAGGATAATGTGCTCCCCTGCTGATAAACTGCTGAGTATAGATACTTGAGAAGACACGAATCGTTATTAAGTCATTTCCGGCATGAAGCCGCTTAATACAAAATGGCGTATTAGCATTTAAAATGGCGTCCAGTATTTCCGGCTTCCCGCGTCGTGTGTGCTTTCCAAAGTCGGGATATGTGTGTGTGTGTGTGTATTTATATAATATTTCTAAACTTAAAATTATTTTAATGAATTTATTTTACCTGCTCAATTATCTCGGGGGAAACCTTCTATTAGCAAATTGCTACTTCCTCATGGCGTGTTATCGATTTTTCTAAGAGAAGTTACAATTTTTTATAAATCCCCGACGCCACGCTTGTTTGACGATTATCGTCTGCGAGTGCCGAATAACAATTGTAGGGGAAGAAAAAAATTATAGTTTCATATAGGAAACATGGTTGATTCTATAATCACTGTGTGCTGATAAATGAAACACAAAACTATCCAATCGCATTACTATTTTTATACTTGTTTTTATAATATGTTAATTTAAATAATAAAATTTTTATAATATATTAATTCTTATATTGTATCAATGTATATTTATATGTATATATACATACATATATATATATGTATATATATATGTATATATATATATATATATATATATATAACCTATGGGTGCGTTCGGGGAGTATGCTATCAACACTACCACGTTCTTCTATCTTTATCGCTCCTTTGATATAAAAAGATAGAATGACACGGTAACGCTGAATAGCGCTAATAGCGAGCTCTCCGAACACACTTTATATCTATTGATAAGTAGGAAAACATTTGTGTGCATATAAGTTACATGAAACTGAACAAAAAGTCACCATTTTGCAGATAACCACGTGGATTTTTAAGTTATTAGTTATTGAAGAAGATTGATAGGCAATTGCATGTAATTATTCACCAATCTTTAATTAATATTCAAAAACCAATGTAGATATTTATAAAATAATGGACTTGTACAATTTGACTTAACATACAAGCACACAATGAAAGTGATACCAATATCCTGTACTACATCATATGTGATCACTCCCCAATCTTGAATTAATAGCTTAAAAATTTATATGGTTTCTTGCAAAATGGTAAGGTACTTTTTTTGTTCAGTTTGACCTAATGTGCAAACAATGGAGATACTTATCAACATCCTGTGCTGCATCACATGTGATCTCACTCCCCAATCTTCTTGAATTAATAACTAAAAATTTTACGTAAAATGATATTTATGATGATGATTATTATTTGATGATTATTTGCAAAATGATAAAGAAATGTGTTCAGTTTGACTTAAGCTACATATACATAAATGTTTTCTTATGTATCATTAGATAAACAAGCAGACAAAACCGATAGGTTTTTCAAAGAATAAACTATAAATAAAATGTACAAAATAGTGGGCAAAAAACATTCAGGATGATAGCAACTAAAAACGGAATTATCATGGTTTCACAGATGAAAATGAATGACTCTATGGATGGAGGTATGGATAACCCAATGTCTGAAGGCGGCGGTGGCGGTGGCGGCGGCGGCGGCGGCGGCATGGGTATGGGTATGGGTATGGGAATGGGAATGGGTATGGGTATGGGTCGCGGCGGAATGCGTGGAGGTGGAAGAGGAGGTCGCGGCGGTGGAGATAGAAATATGGGCGACAGAAATAGATCACAAGATGTAAGTTTATATTTTATATACACTCTGGAGAATTTTCCAATAGCCTTGGTGAACGTGTAGCTGCTATTTAAGTTGTATATTGATTTCAGGATCGACTGATGGAACGTATCATGGCTATCAGTGGGCCCACTCACGAGCTGCCGCCCCAGGAGGTAACAGAGAAGAAATTTAGTGGCAGAAATCGTTTGTACATTGGGAATTTGACAAATGATGTGACTGAAGAAGAGATACAAACCATGTTCCGCAAATATGGAGAAATATCTGAGTTGTTTGTGAACAAAGAGAAGAGTTTCGCTTTTCTCAGAATGGTAATCCCTGAGTTTTTATAAATTGTTTTCCGAAGCTTTTCTTGTAACAAAATATATGATTATAATAATTACCGGTTGATGCACCATGAGAAAAAATTATGGCTGTTATTTTGTAAAATGATTACGATATTGTTGCAGAATTATCGTACATTATATAGTAGTACATTAAGACATGATAAATTTTCTTTGTGTGTAGGATTATAGAATAAATGCTGAGAAGGCAAAGCACGAATTAGATGGTACGATGCGCAAAGGTCGTGCGTTGAAGGTACGCTTTGCCCCTCATTCGTCGACAATCAAAGTGAAGAATCTTACACCTTGGATATCTAACGAGCTCCTTGACAAAGCCTTTGGTGTATTTGGTGAAATCGAACGTGCAATTGTTATTGTTGATGATAGAGGCAAAAGCACTGGCGAAGGAATAGTTGAATATTGTCGAAAGCCATCTGCTCAATTAGCTTTGAGGAAATGTACAGAAGGTTGCTACTTCATCACGGCGTAAGTTATCGATTTTTCTCTAAGAAAATGTTTACTTTTTTTTTTTTCTTTTACGAATCCCCGACGCCACGCTTGTTTGATAAATTCTTATCTGCGAGTGCCAAATAATAATTGTAGGGGAAGAAAAAATTATGGTTTCATATAGGAAACATAGTCGATTCTGTAATCACTGTGTGCTGACAAGTGAAACACAAAACTATTCAAGATAAAATTATTAATATCTGAAGGGAAAAATCGACAAAATAAATTCAATTAGATATTTCCAAATTTTATTATAGCTCACTTCGACCAGTTGTTGTGGAACCATTCGAGCAACAAGATGATGTGGACGGTTATCCCGATAAAAACCTACCACGCAAAAATCCGGAATTCTTTAAAGCCCGTGATATTGGTCCACGTTTTGCACAATTGGGTAGCTTTGAGCATGAATATGGTACAAGATGGAAACAATTACACGAATTGTACAAGCAAAAGGAAGAAGCACTCAAACGAGAAATGGCGATGGAAGAAGAAAAACTGGAGGCCCAAATGGAATTTGCCAGATACGAACACGAGACCGAACTTTTGAGGGAACGTATGTATCATAATGTTATATATTTTTATTATGCAGTTATCTTTTGCGATTCTACAAATAGATATTTCTGACATTGCAGAACTGCGTATGCGTGAGGCGGATCGCGAAAGACAAAAGAGGGAATGGGAAATGAAGGAGCGACAAGCCGAGGAGCAAAGAACTCGTGAAGAAGAATTGAGACGCCGTCAGCAGGAAGAAATGGCAATACGTATCAGGAGACAAGAAGAGGAGCTACATAGACGTCAACAAGAAAATAATTTGTTTATGCAGGTACGTTCACAAAATTATTTTCTTAAATTGCTTAATGTTCAACAAAATTATTTTCTTAAATTGCTTAATATTCCATATTTTTCGTTCGCAATTGAAGCATTCAAAAATTTTATTTATAACAAATACTTAGAGATAAATATTTTATGTTTCAGGAACAAGCAATTCGTAGTACCGGTAGTAGCGGTCTCGGTAGCGGAAAAAATTACGATTCTGTTAGCAACAACGATCGTGACGGATATGGCCAACCTGATGGTAAGAAAAGTTTGATATGTTTCCACTGTCATTATTTTCATATCGAAACACTTTTTATTAATAAATTTATACTTATATATTTTACATATATATATTAATATATATTCATATATTATATATATTTATTTTTTATTTATTTGTATATCAATACACATAAAGCAAAAGTAATAGCTGTAATTGAAGTCACAACAGATGTCGCGATAATTATATACTTGTGACTCATAACTTGCTACCTCAGTATCGTCATATTTTTATGTCGTTTTGTAATAGTGTTTGTGTGTTATTTGTTACAGGTGGAAGCAACATGCCAGTGGTAACGTATCCCTTTTAATTTATTAAATTTTTTATAATTTCATGTACATATCATAATATTAAGTTCTTTCTCCGAGTAGTTGATTTTTCTCCCTATGGACTTTTTTCTTTTTACGCGATATATTCTGTTTCAAAACGATTTGAACACTTTTTCCGATGCAATTCGGAAAAACCAATAGTCCAATGAAAAAAATTAGAAATTAGTCAAAAACAAGTTCTTTCGTTTGATCATTGGCTGCGTTCTAGGGCTTCAATATCGAATCGAATCTGACACTCTATCCGGGATTATTCGGATAAATATAACACTTCAAATTCAGGTTATCCGCGTGTCTCATGAGATGTACGAACATTAGTTAAAGCGTCGAATCCGGATTTGAATCTAAGTTCTCGGCGGAATCGATCAAGCACGTCCGTAGTAACTGAAATCCCTCTCGAATATTTAAGAATTAAACCACATTCTACTGTCTCTCCACACGCTTTCTCACACCCCACTGACTCACTACTCTTTCATCGTCCGAAAGAGAAAAATACACGGCATCTATCGTCTGCTTCTTTCTACCTGATCTTCAGATTTCGTATCTCACGCTCGGTCTATTTTCATTATGTCTAAGCTCATGAGATATGCGAATAGTCATTTATTCGAATATTTAGGAGTCCTATTCCAAGCTGCAAAGTGTTCAAACCGTACGGAAACTAAATTGCGATATCGAGATGTGCTCTCGCGTGACGTGCACAAACTTCATTCGTTGCAATAAGTGAAATATTGCTTCGTGCATGACGAAATAGTTTTCTGTGGTGTACAACATCACAAGGTTACACAAGGATTGATAAACCTTATTATTATTCCCAGTTGAGCATGTTCTTCAAAATAAGCAGAGTTCTAATGTCTGCAACATTAACGAGTTCTTTATTATCTTACTTTGAATTATTTTCGAAATAAGATCACGAAAGTCTATTTTTGATTGTTTAACATATGGAGGGATCAATACTGTGATATATGGTAATATACTTAGACAAAGAAAGCTGCACTTGCGTATTATACGGAGTATCAGCAACTGACCGCATTTAAAATGCGTCCGTTAACTGACATTATCGTACCTATGAATATAAATATATGTGAGTGATCACGTAATTACTTACGCTATGTCTTTCTGACAAATATTGCTGCTGACTACTACTGAGACATACTTTCTTATTTTAAGATGCATGAATATTTAAATTTATTTGATCGACCATTCTTCTTATGGAACGAAATCTCTTTAGAAATTTCAGTATCAGTGACTGCACTCGAAAGATTTACGCTTAAACCTCTAATTTTATTACTCGAAAAATTCATGTACTTGAATTTCTGGTTTTATTGCTACATATCGACGGACATACGCAATATAATGCGATATCTAAATTTTACTGTAATATTGGAGCAAAATAATAACACAACCTATTTTAATCTAATAGGAACTACAATTCCTATAATTCTCTGCTGAAAATATTGAGAAGCCCAAAATAGTGACACTAATAATCACATTAACCCCCACTGATAAATGTTAGTAATTAGTACATATGAGACACGGTAAACCTACTTTAGATACTTTTAATCTTTACAAAGTGACTTATAAAGACCGTTCTCCACGCGTGACCTATGATATTATATCACACACATCTCTAAACTCTTCATTGCTTATCTCGTGGAAAACGTTTAGATCTAAAAATATAACTACCGTGTTGGTCTCTCCATATGGTTTGCAGGCAGGAGACTTTGCAATCTTGTAGTAGCATTAAGATAAATTTCGTTCACTATGGAACCCCGGGATGTTTATAATTTCTTACACAGAGAGCATACTCTCTGTACATCTCTCTCATACTCTCTGCGATAAATTATGAGTAGAAACAAACTATAAAAAATTCATCAGCTATTTGGTTCCATAGTTACTTGATATCTGTCGACCAAGAAATGCCCAACCAGACACTTGTCCAACTGAAAAAACAACCATGTTAGGGAATACATATAGAAGAAAGTCTCTGAGGAAACTTAATCTTCGCGTGCGTGCAGGTACTTCGCGAAACCTCTGACCATATCAATCTGAAATTTTATCTATCTTGAAATCTCCGTAGGTTTTTTGGTATACATATTTGAAGCACATGACTCTCGGGAGGGTGATGTTTGTACACATTTTAATGTGTATGCTCACTGTAGGGATATTTTATACATAGCATTGTTATTCGCACGATATGCAATACGATCCCTAAACACGAGCATCACTAAGAGACAGCTTGCTCAGAGACCTTGATCACGCCTCTTTGCTGCTACGCGTTGTGCTCGGAGCTTTAGAGTTCTACGAAAGTTTGCATAAAGCGATAACTATACGATTAAACAATGAAAATTATCCGATATACAACGTAACTACTTCTAACTGACTCTTTGAACCGGCGTTTATCGCACGTGAAAGTGGATTAACCGTCTTCATTCTGGGACAGTATCTATCTACGTAATAATATGCGTCTTACAAATCTCTTACTACTCTGATTATTCACGAGGTAAACTCGTTCACAAATTCTCTCCTACATACCGCACAGTTATGTAGCGATTTAACAATTGTCATACTGTGTGCGTGCTGGGACTGGGTAATAATTCTAACAAGAATTCCATACTTAAGCCAAAAATTTGTACACGTGTACAAATAAACTTTTGTGCACAAACCGGCATTAATCTCTCTTAACACTAGATTTAAGATTACTCGAAATTCTCAATCGTACTCGTATACACGAACGATTTCTATCTGTCACCGTGCTACATATAAGACGGGATAGACACTATTTCATCTAATTTGTGGAACCTCTAGGGCATGTGAACGTTATATCGTTATCAAAACAGCAATAATTTCCACACGATGATCAATTTGTCTTCCTCGATCATACTTCAACTCACCAGTGCGAAGTTCAGGAATTGTTGGCACAGAAATACAGTCCTGCGAGCAGTTACATTCGTTACTGCGCTTGCAATGCGATTTTGAGGCTTATGCTTCTTAAGTTGAAGTCGTGATTTGGAGGAGAAATTGTATAAAATAAAATTCTGAAGTACCGCGCAGTGAACGGCCTGATTCTTGTCTGGACATACATAAAACGGGACTGCCGCCTACTTGTCTGCGTTGGGCATTTGCTTGGTCTTGTAAAATTTAATCAATATCGCAGAACATACCCTCTACAGAAATATATGTATCGATAAGCTGTATACCCTTTGTTACTTTGACGCGTGAATTGCGCACATGCAGTTCACTGTCATGATTGCACAAACAGCAAATCTAACATTGTGTTTTCCCCTTTCTTTTCTATGTGATTTGACGAAAATTGACGATGACCTGTGTGCTGCTGTGAAACATGGATGGTCGCCCTGAACCGTACGAAAATGTACTTATGGTACATCCAAAATCTGCGAATCACGCGTAAACCAAACTCTCGACCTCTCCCTGTACGATTCGCAATTCTCCGCGTAATCATATAGGATCCAAAATCCTTTATGGATGCGTACAACAATATGGACCGCGGTAATCGTGGGGGTTATAACGATGATCGTGGACAGATAATGGATTTGATGGACATGAGGGTAGACATGGGTAACATGGGTGGTGGTGGTAGTCGTGGAGGTAGTGGTGGCAGCGGACGTTGGCAAGGAAATGACCGTAATCGCCCGGACGATTATCCTAACAAACGACGACGTTATTAAAAGTGTATTACAGGAATCTTTCGTTAATTCCTCGGCACGTATTCTGCTCGTATTGCGTCCTTTATTTAGTCCTCGCGTTCATCACATCACTTGACTCTCTTGACTTAAAGAGGAAAAGGAGGATTAATGGAGAGAGGATCGAGATATATATATGATTTACGAGAAGAAACAGCATCGGACGTAGTCGATATACTTATATATCGAGTTGTGTAATTCGACTACGAAAACAAAACCGTATGCAAATTCGATGTGAGCGCAATAGGATTCTGATATGCCCGAATTCCTTGTTATCCGGGTGACATCTATCATGCGTTATCGATGGCATATTAATTTAACACTCGATTATTGACACCAGTTATAACAGTTTGTTTCAAATCAATTCTTTTTTCTTACTCGCTTAATTAATGCGAAGTATCATGAATTAAATAGTAACATTTAACGTATTCTATATTTCATTAGACGCAATCCGTCTTGCGGTTTCATCTTTACTAAAAATTTATAGAATCGTATCGTAAAATAAATGTGAGATTTATGAAATATCACGTAGAGATTCAAAGAATCTTGCTTAAAGAATGTACATTGAAAATAATTTTATAATTTAGAAAAACGATTTTTTTTTTAATTTCTCTGCGTTTTTTTCTTTATCGCAATTACACCGATTTGAATCGTTTTTTCTATAAACATAGATTTCATTTAATTACTTTCTCGCTGACCTAGACTACTTTTACCATATTATTTTGTATCTTATCTACACATTATAAGGAAGAATGCTAACATAAATATGACTGAAATGAACGTTAACGTTTGCATGTTAAGATTTGTACGAATACATTTGCTTAACGTTGACAATTAGTATCATCAACGTTTTAGGTATTCCGAGTATGGTGATTGAATCATGAGAAGGTATATAAAGTTTTGTTATTTCTTAAATATTCACAAAGTAATTATTTTAGTTTAAGATATACACAACATATACATATATATACACACACACACACACATACATACACACACCTAATACTATCTATATCTGCAGTTATAATATTTAATACTTTGTGAGAAATCTTAATTAACAAAAACGTAATGACATCAATAAAGATATATACATGTATACATACATATGATTCAAGCTTATATTTTAGATACTGATATGTTTGTATATATATATGTATATATATGTACACATATATATCTATATATATATACATATATTTCTTTTTCTTCTATAAAGTGCGAACATAGCTGATTAGACCTTGAAATGCAAATCACTTATCGTGCGTAATGTAAAACATTTGATGATCATCATTCTGCTTTCAGTTCAACGGTTTTCTATATCTTCTACATAGGAAAGGTTGGCCATGTTAAAATTATATACAGGAGAAATTCTTAGCAATTTTTTTTCGCAGATCTACCATCACATATATTTGCAACAGTCAGTTCCAAAAAATCCACAAGTGTTTATGTAATATGTCCAACAATCAGAAAAAGATATTATACTTAATAATAATTTTATTAATACGTATATATGTTTCATACAAGTAAAACGATTCCTTGTGAATTCGAATATAGGAAGGTCGATTCTCACACACAAGTAACGTATCAGATAAATGTTGTAATTTTCTTTCAATATGTTAGTAAAACAAAATACTGCTGCCATAGTAAGTTAGCAGGTTCAATACATCAAGTACTTTAGCTTTAGTACTGCCATTTGAGGAAAATGACGACATTAAACTAATACATTACTGATATATATGAATTGGTGCTAAAGCGTGGTATATAAAATGTAGATGGAAGAATGCTTTATATTAGCTAACGTTTTCTTCACAGGAAATTTTCCGATAAGATATAGGCTACCTGATATTAGGATTACACAAATCTTATTAGGGAAATCTTTAGAATTAAATTTATATATTTAATTATTATAGTTTTTTTTTTCACATATATATGTTCCAAGTGAATAGTTTGTCATGAGTATGAATAGCTCTATTATTTCAGAACTTAAAAAGAGTGAGATATTATAAAATGTTTAGGGTGTGGATTATATCCTGATTATCTGGTCTTGTGCCAAGAAAAGAGAATGCCCTTTTTTATTCTTCATAAAATACTGCAATTTCGTACATTCCCCTGATTATTTGAGGATAATAGGGAAACTGCATTTCTGTCTTGAAGAATCTTCCGCCTTCCAGTACTTACAATACCGACATAATATTTATTTATAACTGAATGTAATTAATCAAGAGTCTTTTAATGGAGAAGATACTGCAATCACAAGATAGGCTTACTTACTCGAAACTGCTAATCTCAATGAACTACCTGTTAACAAGGTGAGTAGATTTTGTAAAACTCTGTTATATTATGCGTAATCTTACTTTAATCTTCGGGTGGGACGTTAAACATTAGCAAATATTACAAAGTGATCGTTCATCGACCACTTATTGTGAATTGCATCTTGTCAATTTTGTGTCCTTGACAATTATCTTTTAGAGCAACACTATTGCAAAGCGATTGAAGATTACTTTGTAATGTTTGCTAACGAGAGATCTTATTGATCTTACTGATACAATAGATTGAAATACATTGTGAGGTAACTAACGTGCGATTAATGCTATTCAAATGACTTCTCATTTCGTAAAATGCTTTTGTCTTCAAGACTTGCTTGAGATAAGATCTATCTTTTTAGTATTTTTAAATATATGACATATGGTACGAGATATATATACTAAGAAATATATTTATAAATAATATTTAATATAATATAAAATATAAAAATTTTATATTTAATATATTAAATAATATAAAAAATTACACAACCTCTCTGTCTTCTAAATAATTATGCGATGAATTAAGCGCCTATCAGCCTGGACCGTGTATCTTTTCACCTACGACAACCGCAATATCTGAACGCGTACTTTTAACAAAAGGTTGTCTAGGTCTAGCTATTGAAATCTGGGCTGTAACATCGATAATCAATTAGGTAACGAATTAAAAAGTTCTTATAGGTGGACGAGGAATACTTGCGAGGAGCCTTTCGTACGTGTTCTGTCGAATGACTTTATGTAATTACGATCAGAAAACAATTACTAGAAACAAAATACGCGATGATTAAAATAATAATTTTGGACAAGGAAATACTTTTACCGCGCGGGGATGTTGTATCTCGTGTAAAACTGCATAAACGGAACACACCCGAGTGTGTACCTATAATCTGCGCGTTGATTATATCTGTGATATGTGACGCAGCTTCGTAACTTTATGTGAAATATCACAATAGAATATATTTTCATAATGCGGCGTTGTTATATACTCAAAACGTACAACAAGAGGTTACAGCGCATTAAAAAGTGCATGCGACTGTGTTTCGAATAAAAGAATGAAAAGTTACCACGAGACGAAGTTCAACTAAATTCAAAATATATTAGATGTTTAATAATTCTTTCTGCAATTAAGAATATCATTTAGGATAATCAGTAGTTATGCACCATCAGTCGCATAACGACTTGATTACCATAAACACAAATATTTATAATCTATTCGCAAAATGCATAAAGTTCATAATTTTTTCATATGTTTGTGATCTGATATACTTTTCAGCATACTGTATATTCTCTATAATTTATCATCTAAAATTACATTTTGTTGCAATTTTCGTATTGCTCATTAATTATTTTAATAGATACTAATAAATATGTAATTGTAATGTATAATATTTTATGTGTGCATATATTGTATATACGTATACGCACATATTTGCACATACACATATATATATTTTTTTATAGAGCTTGATAAAGTCATATAATTACAAATTTATTAAAAACACTCATATTACAGTATCAATCTACTTAATAGTATCACCATTTCATATCGCGTAAAAATTAGATTATTATGCTTGTATTAAATTATTCATATAAAACACGATCAAAATTGTCTCTTCACTATCTCCTCACCAAGCGGTATATACTTGATGTGGGCATCCAGGTGTTTAAAGTCAGAGTCGCCTAGAGAGATGATTTCTTGATAATCATATATTTATATTATATTGTATGCTTTCAGATCAAATTAGCAGCTGGTTGAACGCAAACAGAAACTGTTGGAAATGATACAGGTATTTTCCGATTTTTAACAACATTTCTATATTATATATCTCTCAATTAATTAGTCTTCTGTATCTCGCAAAATGTCTCAATTTAAATACACATTTTGTGTGCACGTTTGTATTATAGGATTACTCTTTTGTATATTTTGGGTCATTTTAATTTTCACTTTCCTCTTGATTGACAAGATTTGCATTTCGTGATGAGCCTAAAGCTCGTATCAGTCTACCGACTGCACAGGCCGACCCGACTGCCGACTCTCAACGTACCAATGCGCCGAGTCGGCAGTCGGGTCGGCCTGTGCAGTCGGTAGTCTGATACGAGCTTTACTCATTCTGAAGATCTATGATAGGAAAGAAATAGTTTCAACGTACTGAGTTTGTTTGAAAAACTCCATCGGTATCGACGAGAACATATCCCACACGCATCATAATATAATTGCAATTTACAGTCTGATGGCTTGAGAGGACAGACCTTACTTGATGTCACCATACGAAGTAATTGCCTTATACGTCTAAGGTTTGTAAAATTATCAATATGTTACTATGTATTTTATATTTTCAGTGATATCTCTTTTGTGAATTTGATTGCTATGATGATATATTTTATGAAAGATTCTAATGATTGTATATTAATTCTCAACGTGTACTGACTAGTTAATTAAAATACGATTTATACATACAATATAACATTTACGCGTGTATCGCTAATTTATTTATTTTTTCTTTGTTCAAAGGAAGACTATAAATAAAGATGAAGAAATAGCCGAATTAATATATCTTGGCTTTACCTTTTGAAGGTAAGAATATGAAGGTTTATTTAAAATATATACATATTTAATAGATTTAAACATATGATATGTATTGAGATAAATGAAAAAAGTATTTAATATTCCAACACAAGTATTTAAATGTTACAATATAAAATCAAGATTTTTCATGATGATAACCCTTTCGGGTCTGAAGCGTGATGTCAAACCAAACATCCCAACGTGTACCATAATCTTATCTGAAAAAAATCTTGAATTTTATCTTGCTATTCAGTTAATCAATTGTTTGCTTTATATCATCTTGTGTGAATTTTTGTACAGGAGGATCACTATACGACGCACAAGGATATCAAACTAACGGAAAAGTAAGTTCTCGTTACATTCTTGAATTAACCTATATTAAACTTTTACATTTTGTGGAAACTTAAAATATTTGTTATACTTACAAATGGAAAATATTAGCAAAAAAGTTGTAACAATCTAATCTTGTTAATAATATTATCACAAACGAATTCAAACAGAATTATTAATAATGTAAATACCGAAAAAATAATGTATATGTACATGTATATGTACATACAAATAGAATAATTTTATACAATTAAAATGATGAAATAATAGGCTAGAGTCCTGAATAGAAGATGACAAATTATTCGTTCAATACTGAGATTCACATGGCATCTCAACAGTCATATATTTTAATATTCTTTTGTAAAGATAATCAACTTCTTTTTGTTACAGCATTTTGCAGTGGTCTGGAGCGAAGAGAACTTGTTGAAATATTCATAAATATTGAAAAATATTTGAAATATGCATATATATATAGTTTTCTTTTTTATATTTTAAAAAATATATACAAGTCTCTTATTAATTATATAAGAGTTGCAATTTATTCTATCAAATTATTTCCTTTCTCAACTTATATATTTGTAGTAAACAGTTACTCGCTAATAATATTCGGATATCATTATTCGTAAAGAATTATTTAATTGCTATATAATTTTTGTTGGGAAGAGGAGTCCATGATTTTTTAAATAAGTTAGAGTATTCTATGTAATTGTCAAAAGCATTAGTTTTATTTATTTAATATGGTTTTGAATATATTTACCAGTGAATAAAATTATGCTTAATTTTACTATTGCAAAAATATTCCGATATTTAATATACTTAATAGTTAATGATACTAAAAAATCAGGTAATTCTGTAAGTTTGTAAGCATAAAATATAATAATATGTATAACTTACTTTGGTGAAAAAAATGCACAAATCTGGCTCAGACATCAAGACAAATTTCTGTTGGAATAAGAAAGCTAAATGGAACAAGAATATAACTGTTAAAGAGGATTATGTTGAGAAATAGATTAATTGTATTGATCGACTAACCACTTAAGTGAAGTAAGACCTAAAACTGTTTTCAAAAACAGTGCCAAAAGTGGTATGATCGATTTTTTATCGAAAATTAGTAATCGTATATTTATATCCGTTCCTGGGGTCGCTTTTTTCATATTTGTACAACTCCTTTAAAGGAGAGAAGGGTGCAAAATAAAAATTTTAAGTTGTTTAGCCCAGATTCTTGTTCAGCGACTCAAAATACTTCAGGGTACCAATTTTTTTTTTTCCAAATCCAATGAAAATTGGAACAGTTATTCAATATGCGTAATTATCTTTTGTCACAAAATTTTTTGCGCATATATGCGTCATTACCACTTAAGTGGTTAATCGCTTACCTCCTTGTTGAATAATCCTCAAAAATACATAATAAACAACGACAAATTTAAGGACGAGATACTTGAATGAAGGTAAGCGATTGAGGGAAGGCTCGCAAAAAATATGATAAAATGTATATACCGTGAAAAAAGCTTTGACAACATTTTATTGTTAACCGCAGAAAAAGCCATATACACTTTCACACGAAATCGATCATAGTTCGACAATAATATCGAAAAATTTATAATAATTGAAATGTACATAAATATAAAGACGACGACGCGCGATGTTACACTTCTTCTTTGTGTGTGCCAGAACTGCACAAAAATTATCCCGAACATCTTTCGCAACGCTCGTTGAACAACTTATTATTCGGTGATGGCATAGGCGTATATATAATTTCTCTTGTGTTTTACCTCATCCTTTTTGTTTCGTTTTAGTAAAATGACGATGCTAATTGCATTCTGAAGTGCGCTTTTACAAATTCACAGAGCTCTGACTTTTCACGTATGAGATGTGACATATTTAAAGTCGATAATCGAATACACGGCCGGAGCGGGTGGAAGGAACGATTTTTGGTGTTTTGCGCTTCTATAAATCTATCTAATCCTATGTACTTTTAGCCGCGACGGTTAAGTGTGTCTCATATATAATATTTATATATATATTTATTTTTTATTGGTACTCTCTCTCTCTATCCGAATGCAGCACGCACCTTTTTGTTTTATATCGCGAGTTAGTATAGATTAACAGCAGCGATTTGAAGTGTCCTCAGACGTTACGTGCTCTATCGTATAAGTCTCTATTTGTTATAATTATATATATATATATATCTCTTTTTTTTCCTAAAATTCCTCTGCAGTGACTTTTAATGCAATATTTTACCTCCTCTCGCTATCGTATTGCTCTACCAATGCCTCGGGAAATCTGTGCTCAACTTGTATACCAATAAAATCCGTTCGTTTTTCCGTTCGGTAATTTCTTCCTTCCACATCATTCAACATTATCGATATTATTTCAATTATACTTTTATCTGTTAATACTTATTAAATATTTTTTTAATTATTGTAGATCACAGACAACTTGTTCTTAATCCATAAAAACAATTAAATTATCTTTTTTTCCATAGATTTTTTACCGATGTGTGTAGAGTGTGTGTGTGTGTGTCGTGGCGATGTGTCGCATACGTGTATGCACATTCTTCAGTGTATATACGTGTGTGTATGTGTGTATGATCGCAGAAACAGCACGAATTTCGGAAACGTCAACCGATAGTCGAGCGATAATTACACACGTGTGCGCGTGTGTGTATGTGTATGTGTGCTTTGCGTCTCGCCCGATTCAATGCCGCATGGAACGCGCCCGATATTCTCCCGCGAGTGGCTTCAGTAGTCTTAAATAATTACAAATAATTCAGCCATCCCGAATAAAAGAGAGAATGAGTGAGGTACTCGAAGAGTACGATACAAATGCGCTCGCAACTTGACGCTTGGACACCTTAAACTACTACGGCACGGGGGAGGGAGTATTCGAAGGGAGCAGTTTCCATGCGGCAAACGTTTGGTCGATATTCCAGGTGACGTTAACGCTTTACAAAATCATAACGTGGCGTACGGCTAATCGTGTTCACGGCCGACATTGAGACGATAATAAGACAAGCCGTTCTTTCGAAGCCTGAGGAGTAGCACGAAGCTCATTACGACTGATAATATCGAGGTCACGATTTATAAACCGCCCCGGGCCCGAGTACGCTTCGCCTCTCGAGGGGCAAGCCCGATGACCCATTTAAACTTATGCGCAATCGGAATAGTTCGATCTTGTAAAAATATAATGTTAAGATACAAACGGCACTGAAGAAATTTAGCGACGATAGCAGTCGGTTGTTCTTAGCTGCGTTCTCTCTCTTTCTCTCTCTCGACGCTTGTTCCCTCCCTCCTTGCTTCGATCCCCGAAACAGCGGCGCCTAATTGTCCCGTCTGAAGTATAGAGAGAGAGAGAAAGAGAGGGACTGAGAGTGATAATTGAATGCACACCTAAAAACAACAGACCGAATCTCGGATTTGGCTTTGTTACTGAAGCACTCTCGTGGATTTTGGCGAGGAAATTCGTACGTTTTCTCGTCCTGTGTGCTCGTATCGATTTGAACGCGTACGTAGTCGTATGACTCTCTCGCGAAAGGTACCTCCTACGTTTCTTCGAGCGACTTATCAGTCAGGTACCCTAAAGAACGCTGGAATTGTGCGTGTGGAGATCGTAATATATGGACGAGGCCGCAACGGTGCGGGGGTGGACTTTGCGAATCGCGCGTTATTTATTTATTAATTTCTTTTTTTTTTTTGCTTTTTGTGTTCTTTCTTTCTCTCGCGTTTTTTTTTATCTGCACAAAGCGTGTCGCCAAGTAATTTTATAAGTGGAACGGACGTGTGTCGTCGGTGTGTGTCTGATAAAAGTGTCTAAGATGCACGTGAGTGGACGCATCATGATCACACAGCAAGCGAATTATCTGGTAGTACTCTCGTAACGTATTTAACGGTATTTAGCTCGTAATAATTTAAGTTTTTAGTCCATAGATAACTCGTGACTTTAATATACAGATATCGTGGTGATACCGCGAGCTGAGCCTCGCCTCTCCGTCTTCCCTTCCTTCCTTCCTCTGCGTTCTCCGGCTGGGATGTTCGCCCGGTACCATTGAGTGAACCAGAGGGAGCGTTTTACTCGGTGTGCGCTTCGTTGCAAGAATTTGCGTCGGTCATTTTGAGAACGGCACGAGTCCCCGAGTCTCGGTTCGGTACAAATCCGTCGAATTAATCGATGAAATGTGGGGCGTGGAATAGTAGTGGTGGGTTTGTGTATACGTATGTGTATACGTATATGTGTGTATATATATGTATGTGTTTGTGTATGTGTGATAAGAACAACGTAAGTCCTTTCGATCCATATCAGCTGAGTAACTCCACTCCAGTTGTAATTCGAAAATTATGTCGTTGAATCGATACTATATGTACATCAATTTTCCCATGGCTGAGAGACACAGCGTGTTTCCTCGAATTTGAACTCTCGGACTTATGTTGCCTTCAAAATGACAGTTTGTTTCCCCGTTTGCGAGGCGCGACGCCGCCGCGACGCGTAGTGGAAAATCGTTCAAAAATATATAGTGTACCCGAAACGCTCGCGTGTGTGTATACGAGCGCGGTAAGCTCCTCCTCAACGTAAGGGCCAGACTCTTCGCGTTTGCGGGATGCGGTGTACAGGCACGTGATTCGCGAATTTGTTTGACTTTACCGGGCCGCACTTAGACAAGCTATACGAAGAAGGCATCGTGCGAGGTAAATCAATTCGGCACGCGGAATAACGGCCGTAGCGCGCGCCGACATTAACGTTGCAAGAAACGAAGAACTTTTCTAGCGCACACGACACCCTCTCGCCCCGAAGGCTCGCGCGATCGGAGGACCCGCGGGCTGTCGTCCCTGGGCTGTGCGCGCGAGCTGTTGACAGAATCATCATCATCATCGACATACGCGACTCCGTAAGTTGAGCTATTATCGAGTAGGAAAAAGTCCGTGTCGCAAAATATCGTCGTATCATCTGTTAGGTAGATAGATAGGTAGGTAGGTATAGTCGGCGCTTTTACGGTGACAGAGATTTACGATAGAATGGCAGAGATTTGTCAACGTTCCCTTCAAATCACCGTACGTGAACGCGTACGATTCGTATTACTCGGCTACCGAGTGTGCCTCTGGTTCACTCCGTAAATCGCGAGGATGGATTTTAGTCGGTCCTGAGAGAGAGATGACTCTTCCACGGTCAGCAGAGCTCTTCCGAGCACTGTAGTAACGTAACGTGTCTTGTTTCTTATGGACGCGATAAGATCGCTTAGTGTGGTCTCCACGAGATATTATTCAGACCTTGAAAATGACGCTTCAGACTGCCGCTGTCGGCCCAGGGGGAGTTGAGATACTCGTCGTCATCGTCTTGCTCAAGTTTCTGAAAAAAAAAGAAGTTTGAGAGACGTGAGAGAAGCTCTTTCTCTCTCTCTCTCTTTCTTGTTGTGGATGCTTTTGCTGAGCTGTGCTCAGCACATTGATCGGGGTTCCGTTCATTGGACTCGGGCGAAGCCGCGAGTCATTTGCATATCAAGCAAACTTATTCGCGACAGAAATTACTCACGCGTCATCGCGCGAGTCATTCCTTAGACTCTGATAAATTCCCTACTAACTCCAAGTTTCGACACGATCCGCTTACAGAGTTGTTCGCGCGAGAGGATATTTAATTAGACACTTAATTGCGGCACTGCCGTTCTACTTCTCGAAATTGGGACCGTGTTTTTGCTTTGGTTTATTTTCTGTGCGAGACTCGAGAGATTCTCGGTTCACCCACGACGTTTCGCATATTAGTTCAACTCATGAATTCAAAGCTCTTCGTTGACATCCCAAACTTGCTTCTCCGTGCGTACAGAGCGAGAACTGCCTTAATACCTCGGTTTATACAAGCTCGCGTAGCATTCGCGGGCAGGCAGCCGCGAGAATTCGGCAACGAGAGAGGAGAGGGCTTGTCATTTGGAAGTCGCGAAGGGGGCAGAGAGGAAGAGAGAGAGAAGAGGGTTGAGAAAGCAAGGGTGAGTTAGGCGAGACGTGGGTGGTTGTTGGGTCAGAATCGATGCTCGCGTCCTTGCTTCGTCTCAGTGGTCTCTCTCACGCATTTCGTACAAACGCGAAAGCCGCAGGTGCCTGCTACCTGCCGACGTCGTTCCGCGATTGATCATACGTGCGGAACTCGTGCCGCACGGAAATGTGCGTGTGCGTTGAGTGCGTGTACGCTCGACTAAATGTCAGAATTCAATGGAATAGCTGGGAACTTATTTATACCGTAAAGTTGTGAATCCCGGTAGTTGGAAACTGTGTGAATCTCTTTGGATATTTTCCTCTCAAAATCTAATCTTCTCGTCGCTCTTACGCGCTTTAGTTCTCCTAACAAAAGTAAAACAAAATTTCTCAAGTAAAACTTAATTTCTCAACAGCGGACTCTTTTAAAATATACCGAAACAAAGTACCTTCTATTCATGATAATCTTCATGACATTTTCACACAGAATGAACAAGATTGCTCGTCTAATCGCATGTTATCATCATAAAATTATTCTAGCACAGTCGCAAATATTCCTAAGCGAGTTTAGGGTTCTGAAAATCTTGCGAGATCAGTTTGTATGAAAGGGCCGAATTGCTTCTTCAGGCTAACAAAGGCTATAAATATTCGACAATTTATTTTAAAAAAGTGTTAAATGAATATGTCGAAATTTTGTATAAAATAATATATTTCTTTATATTTAAACACATAAAAAATACATTTTTATTTTTTGAGCGAAAATAACGTTATAATATCCATTGTCGCTCCAAGTCTACAACTCCTGCACGCCTCCTCGGTTTGCATGATTTATGTTTGTGCAAAATCATCTAATCAAGAAAATGGAAGAAAAGTTTTTATGAAATAATGTTACAGTTGTAGTCTCTTGGGTCAGAATTTTTATTTATTTTTATTTTATTTTCTTATGTTTTTAATAAGATAGAAGCGAATTTTCGACAAAAAATTTTAATTTCTTTTCTAATAATAAACAAGAAAATTCAATTGTTTGAAAATAAAAATTCTGGTTCAAGAAATTATAATTACAACACTATTTTATAAGAAACTTTTTCATTTTTTATTAAAAAAAACATATATATATATTGTGTATAAATTATAAACTTTTTTTTTTAATTTAAACATATTCATTTAGTAGTTTTCTTCAAATTAGTTCCCAAATATTGTTGCATTTTTAGCCTAGAAAGATAAATTTACTTTATCTGAATTTCCCTTAGATTCATCTATCTTCTACGAAAAACGTGTGTTGCTATTTTAGCGCGGGGGGAAATCCAATGACACTTTGCGACTTTAGAATAAGGAAGAGGAGAGAACAAGTGTTCTATAAATACGCGCGTAATACTGCTTTTTTTGACTATTTCCAGATCACAGGACGATAATTGATTATGATTTTCCCTCATCTTTCTCAGCGTGTCACCGACATACATGAATGACAGAGCAAACTGGGGCGAAGTACTAAGTAGCTTTGCGTCGAGCTACTTGTTACTACATCTCCTCGACAAATGTAACGGCTCGAACATTGTTACATGGCTCTTTGAGAGGGAGACGAATTTGCGGGCGCTCCCGCAGCACTCTGCTATTTGCTCAAAAACATTTCTCCGTTATTTCCACGGTGTACACATGTGTCAGGAGTTGTTTATGACTCTCTGAATGTTTCAACATGCCGTGTGTGTCCTTCTGTGTTTGTATACGCGTTAGAGAAATGCACCACATACTCCGGCGAGATTACGAAAACAAATTCGTTGCGCGCGTCGAAGTGTACTCATAGAAGTTCAACTTAAAGGACGCGATACGGTCAAATAGAGTGACGTCTGATCGCCGTTACTGTCGCAACCCTTTGAATGGTATGGATATGAATTGGCGGAGGTACTTCAAATAGATTACTCGGTGTATGCGGTCGAACGCGATGGTGGGAGAAGCAACGGCGACTCGCAGTCTATCGCGCAGCCATTCGACCTATATCGCCCTGCATCCCGAGACGCTATTTATAGATAGATGCGCCGGTAGTGTGGTCGAGAGAGCACTTAGCCATCATTTTATCGCGTCGATAGCTTTGCGCGAACGAATTATTTTTATAAAATTAATCAAACGCAAGAGGAAACACGCAATACGAAGAGTCGAAGGACGAGAAATCTCCGGAGATCACTCGCGTATAATTCCGGTCGCGAAGCTCGTGGAAGCCCGCCTTTCGTACGATTTGCAGCTTCAATTTAGTTCCTCGCGAACTCCCCAAATGGAAAAATTTCCGACAAGAACTGGTCACCAGCCAGAAACCAATTTTGACCGACTAGGATTTATTAGACAGAAACTGGGCAGGGAAAAGTCCTGGTCAGTGTTTCTTGGCCAATTACTAGCCAGGAACTAGTCAAGAAAGAATGGTAATTAAAGATAAAGCTACAACTGTCTCAATAATAAATGAGTTTCTACGTGAAAAGACTTTACCTTCTAAAATACAGTATGACACGAAGTTTCACGTTATTTTTATATTAAATAGAACCGAATGATGAAAACTATTTGAAAGAATTTTATAATTTTGTTGTAAAAATTTGGAAAGAAACTTAACAGAGACTTCATCAGTATAGTACGCAGCATAACCTCTTGAGTTCATTTCATATTGTATATATACTTTGTAGCAGCAGCTACACGAAGTTTCACGTTATTTTTATATTAAATAGAATCGAATGATGAAAACTATTTGAAAGAATTTTGTAATTTTGTTGTAAAAGTTTGGAAAGAAACTTAAAAGAGACTTCACCAGTATAGTACGCAGCATAACCTCTTGAGTTCATTTCATATTGTATGTATACTTTGTAGCTGAATGTGACATGGTCATAAAGGAATGTGTCATAAAGGGCGAAAAAGAACGATACTTAACTCAAAAAAAGTTGAAAAGCATCGTGTTATACGAGCTGATGTCGAAACTATAATGACAAAACGGTCCCGGTATCACCTTCGTACCACACAGAAAAAAAGATCTGGTTGAATTAACCAAATATCTGGTCGAATATGAACGATCCAGAAATTCCAACTGATGTAACCCGAATTCTGTTTAAGTCAACCAAAAATCTTATTAACTGAAACAGAATTCGGGTTACTTCAATCGGAATTTCTGGATCGTTCATATTCGACCAGATATTTGATTAATTTAACCAAATCTTTTTTCCGTGCAGTAAACGAATTTTCTTTTTTACATCCTGTTTCAAAGTCTGTTCTTCAGTTTATAAATATTCTTGTGTTATTTAATTACTATTTATATATATATATATATATATATATATATATATATATATATAT